TTTAAGCGCCACTTTTGGGCTATTTCCTGGCGGCCAGTTTTTTTTGGTGGAGGAAGCCGGAGTGCCCGGAGAAAACCACCCACCTTCAATAGGAAAACTGACAATCCTGGTCAATTAAGATTGGAGTCGAGTGCACCTGCAAGAGCAGGGTTCGAACTCACAACCTCAGTGTTGACTGGCTGGTGATTACAGTAGTAGAACTACTTAGACCACTTGGCCACCGAGGCCCCCTGTATTTTGGAGGGCGTTTGAGTAAATGGTGGGCTACCAATATCTTAATCGAGAATCATTGTTTTGTAATAACAAATGACACCTTTTTTATTTAGATCCTAACAAGACATATGATTCTCATAATTTATCCTTGCTTTCAGATCATTTAGTGGTAAATTCGACAGCAGGCTGCTGTACTGACCATGATTGACTTAAAAATAAAGATTCCAATAGAATTTTGATAAATTGACATTGAATATAACAAGAGGCTCTCAAGAGGCTGTGTCGCTCACCTGATTCTACTTTCCTTTTGGAAATCATGTAAAAATAGATTAAAATCATAACAGATACCCTAATAATAATTGAGGCTAAACTTGGTTTAATACTGGCCTCGTAATTTAATCAAAAGCAAAAGATTTTTGTAAAGTTTACAGAAATTACCAATAAATTCATTTTAATTGTAGAAAATGACTTAATAAGGACAAAAACTCCAAGATGTCAATTGACAATTTTGCTGTAGGATAACAAATCGTAAACAAAGTAACAACACTAATTGGTTCGCACCTCATAAGGAACATTCATGCCATATTTGATTTCATTCCAATTAGTGGTTCATATAAGAAAACATTTATATGTAATCCATATAACTAGGTCTTCTGGTGGCCATCTTGGATGGCAAATCAGTAACAAAGTTACAAAACTTGGTAAGTACCAGGTTTTGTTTCAATCCATTCAAGGGTTCTTTAGAAGAAGACATATGCATTGGTTACATATTTTCCCATTAAAAAACATGATAAACAAATTGTGTAAAATTGTATTTAAATGGCAATAACTCCTTAAGTTGTCAATTGACAATTTTGTTTATATAAAATTCATGTGTAGATCTTACTTTGCTGAACATTTTTGTGGTTTTCAGTTTATCTGTATCTATAATAATATTCAAGATAATAACCATAAACTGCAAAATTTCCTTAAAATTACCAATTTCGTGGCAGCAACCCAACAATGGGTTTTTAGATTCATCTGAAAATTTCAGGGCTGATAAAACTTTACCAAAAGAACATTTAACCCTGTCAGATTTCCTCTAAATGCTTTAGTTTTTGAAATATAAGCCAAAAACTGCATTTTACCTCTATGTTCTATTTTTAGCCATGGCGCCCATGTTTTTTAAAGAAACTGAAACTAAACACACATTTTATTCTAGATTCCCTAAGGATCATTCAGCTTAAGTTTGGTTGGAATTGGTTCAGCAGTTTCAGAGGAGAAGAGCTTTGAGATAGTTTACACCGGACGGACGACGGATGACGATGGACACCAAGTGATGGCAAAAGCTCACATTTCCTTTCAGGAAAGATGAGCTAAAAAGGTGATGTCCCGTTAACAGTCAAGGGTGTAACTTGAATAAGTTATTAGAGAAAAATAACATACATGTGTTATTACGGATACTTTCTCTTAATCTGTAGTAACATATGTTTGTTATCAGTTAAATATGTACCATAAAAAATTTTATTTTCAGTGGGCACTTGGGAATTCTTGAAACTTGCGCAGTATCTTAATTCATAACCTTGAAAACTAATTTTCCAATTCAATTAATACATTTTTGATCAACCATGATAAATCAATGAGACAAGGCTTTTAAGTGATAACTTAGCTGTAACAATAAGGCTTAGTTATTACAGGCATTTAACTTATTACATGAGACACTTGGGAATGACTAGGAAGCTTGCGCAGAACCTCATTACATGCTCTTGTCATTATTTATTTCAACAAATTAAAATACATTGTGATATATGTAGGAGAAAAGGCTTTGAAGAGATGTAGAGAAGTTGTAATAACACCCTTTAGTTATTACAGGCATATTTTTTCTGTAATAACATGGGTGTGTTATGCATGATTGGCAAACTATGGGCTGTTATATCTTTCTAAAGTTTAATATACATAAAGACAATTATAATATCAATAGAACTAGTACACAATTTAACAAAATAAAGGATGTATAATGCCCCTTTGAAACATGTAACATACATATGTTATCACAGATTTTTGATTTTTTAGCCCTCAATAAAAAATGTATGTTATTTTTCTCTAATAACTTATTTAAGTTAGACCCTTGACTGGTTAATGGCAGCTGGAAAATAAGTTTTTTCTCAGATGAGAGTACATTATGATTTTGGACATGATTAAGATGTTTACGGTGCAGTCCGGTGTATCCGTGCACCTAAGACTTATGAATTCACTTTATCAAACTGATAAAACCAATAATCGAATAATATTGTGTGAACAAATTCATTACATACTTTTATTTCATTAAATCTTCTGTATGTATGGTTTCACCTTTAAGATTTTGTGTAATAAGTTTCAATAAATTGCTTCGCCGAGTGCAGCTGGATACGACCGCAGAGGTCCAACTCTGAACAGTTGGGGCAAAATGGACACAATATTCGCACTTGATACAGGTCTGAATTCGGATTGTAATTAAATATTTGACACATAATAGGTTTCTGACACAGAATAACTGTAGTCAAAGAACTTAAATTGGTTATGTGATTTGATAAATAAAATTGAGAATGGAAATGGGGAATGTGTCAAAGAGACAACAACCCGACCATAGAGCAGACAACAGCCGAAGGCCACCAATGGGTCTTCAATGCAGCGAGAAACTCCTGCACCCTGAGTTTATATTCATTTTTTTGCTTTTGTGCAATACACTATGCTGTTGCGAATTGACCCCCCTCCCCCCAAAAAAAAAAAATATTAGAAGAAATTTTCTTTTTTTAAATTTCTGAACAAATTGTCCCCATCCCACCTCCAAATTTTTGTTTCACCTCCCCCCCCCCCCCCCCCCCCCCACCCTTTTTCCAAAAAAAAAAAAAAATCTTTCCCTCAAGATATGGTCATAATCTCAATTCAAATTTCAAATGGAGTTTGCAACCATAATAACCCATTTAAATCCATCATAAAAGTCTTAAAATAGAAAATGACATACATAATCATGGCTAAAATTAAATTACCTGCATCAGCATATTCATGATATTTAAAATAGTAACTTCTAAAAATAAATTGACAGCTAATCACATCAAGACAGTGCAACATTTCTTTATACATTATTTAAAAGCAGTGTAAGGGAGGTAATTGTCAATGTTGTGTTTGAATTACCTCCCTTACTCTGCTTTTAAATTATGTTTTGTACTTAAGTAATTGTCCATTAACCAGGACACCCTTGTTTTTCCACCTTTTTTGCCCCTAATTCCTAAACGGTTTGAGCCATAACCCCCAAAAGCCAATTCTTATCATCCCTTTGTGCGGTATTTTTGCGGTCGTATAAAAATTAGGGAAACCCTCGTTTTGAAAGTTCTTCAAATGTCTGGTGATTTCGTGCATGCCTTCTAAAAAGAGATTATTTTGAATAAAGGAAAAATTTTATAGTACAAAATAAAGTTGAATTTGAACCAAACATACTGCATACAGCCAAGGATGCAGAGCAAAATTTATTTCAATCTGAATAAAATTTGACATAAATGAAACAAATTTTATCTGATGATGACGATGTAGTTTTTTTAATTGAAATTGGCTAAATATGGTTGATCATCGGATTGTAGTTATAAATTTACTCTTGAACTTATCAATTTTAATCTTTTCTGTCCCTTCGGAATACTAAAACAATTACAAGAACAATTCTAATTGTGTTACATTGCCCATATGCCGAAATCAGGTAATACCCGAAATCACCGGCCGCATGGACACTGGACACTGCTTTACACCAATGTACAAATGTATGTTTTGGCAGATACTGGAATGGTTGCAGTTGACAAGAAGAAAACAATGCTTCTACTTCTACCACTAAAGTCAAGACTTTCTGCAGTGGTAATAGAGGCAGGTAACATGGTATAGTAAGGTGTTCCAATCTCTTATCGTTCATGGATCATGTGGATTGAAGGACTTTTTCCTGATGCTGGTCTTGCAAGATGGTACATGTATTTGGAAAGAGTGAACATTAGTCTGTTAGTACATGTATGTCTTAATAATCTGTCAGGTGGTATCAGTTTGTCGCCAGCATCAATCTTTACTTCGTCATTTGAGGAATTAAAGATTGATGCTGGCGACAAAAATGAGGAAGTAAAGATTGATGCTGGCGACAAACTGTTACCACCTAACATGCCTAACAGATTATCAAGACATACTAACGTTCACTCTTTCCAAATACCATATACTGCCAAAACATAAACCTCCAAAATTTTTTTGTATATTTTGTTGCCCCTAAATCCTAAAATTTTTAAAGTTTGTTCTTGTAATTGTTTATGACCATTACATTTGGGAGCTATTGAAGAAAAATATAACACTGTTTAATCTTCGGTCTTTTATTTGACATGTTTGAAAGAGATACAGCAATGATGAAAAGCTTGCATGAATTAAAAGATAGACATACATGCGGAGCGTCTTTTTACCACAGAACACCACAGAATACCACAGAACACTCAAAATACCACAGAACTACACAAATTACAACAAAACTACTGAAATATGCCACAGTAAAATTACTTTATAAAACGCAAATCTAATAATTCCAAATTATATTATTTCTTTAATTCGGGTTACACCAATGACATGATGATTGACTGGATGAGATAAAAATTATCATAACTTTTTTGTTATTTGCCATATTTTGTTTACATGTACATGTGTACATTTTGTATGTGTCCCTCTGGCAGCAAGAGGGTTAATACAAGAAAGCTGTTAAGAGAAAATCCCTTTATCATGTTTGTGTAGAGAAGTATTAATTTATTGCTTACATGTTAGGTTCTTTTGTCAGCTTTGAATACAATCTAGAAATCGTGGATTGAACCACTGATCTTTGAAACTTTAACTTTAAAACTGATGCATCGAACTTCAAGTAATCCCGTACGGAGTGAATGTATGAGAGTTGTTCCTCATCCAAATCTGTTACTGTTTTCATTCGTTTTAGTACTTCGAGTGGATCCTGGGAAAAGTCTTTTGCGTAGTATATGTTTAAGTATTCAAGATTGTGTCTTTTCCAATTAGACACCCAGTCTGGTATATCAACTTTCAACGATCCTGGGCACTCCAAAGACGCTTTTCGTTTTGGCTGGGGCATCTTAAAAAGCAACGAAGTCGAGGGTCCTGGTTCCGAATCCATCATACTACAAAAATACAGAAGCAAACCAAACTACAAATGAATAAATAATAACGACACGAGACGGATACTGAAAACGGAAATATTGAACATCCGGGTTTCACTAAAGGGTTCCATCCCATGTCCCGACCAATAACTTGACCGACAGAAAAAGGCTATTTTCTCTTAATTTCTTGACAGATTGACTTCCAATTTGGAACTGTTTTACTGACACAATATCAAAGTAAAATTTAGAATAGGTAGTATTACACTTGGTATTCATGAAAATTAACAACAACCTATAGTTGTTAATTTCAGTGTCATTTGGTCTATTGTTTAGAGTTGTTTCATTGGCAATCATACCACATCTTCTTTTATATAAAAAGTGAAGTCAGGCGAACCGTTCACCAACTACATCACCTCCTTTTAATTTCTGCCAACAACATTAACAACTGAATTGTATTTTGGATCATGTAAAAATGTTTGCTATGTTGTGACTATTTGCCCTCAATTACCAAACATTTTTTGTAGCAGATGTAGTTTGAGTGTTTAAGTCAGTCTAAAACGAATGGGTAAATATTTAAACAGGCTAGGTAAGTTAACAGCATACTACTAATGTACATATTGTACAGTAATTAGGCACTACTGTAGCGAAAAAAAATCTATTGAAATGGAAAAAATTCAAGAAAGAGCTCTTACATTCATCTATGAAATCATGATAGTTCATACGTAAAACTCGGCTAGAAAAATCAAAATTACCTTTTTTAAAAATAAGAAGAATAAAAACTATTGCAACAGAAACTTTTCATATAATTCACTAAAAAAGTCCAAGCTACCTGATGTCAAAATTAATAAGTATGATTTAAGTTCACAGGAAAGAGCAGCACTCCCGAGAGTCAGAACTACCAGGTATGGTTTAAGATCGTTTCGCTATAATGCTGCACAAATCTGGAATGAGCTGCCGTTGTCGAATGGAAACATCTTTTGACCAATTAAAAAAAATTGGTACAAACTGAAACATGGGATCCAAATAACAGCTCATGTCAGTACAGTGCATGCATATAGTGTTTTATGCTTGTGCTTCTTTAATTTTTTTATTTTTTGTGTGACTATTTAATCTATATGCTTATTATTCTTAACTTGTGCTATGTTTTAAGATATACTTTATTTTGCAAACTATGCTTTTAACTTTTATATGTCATATGGTATCTTTAACTATCAACTGGATGTTTAAAATTGTGTTAACGAGAAATATAAGGGCTTGGTTTCAAAACTATAACAAGAAAAGAATTTCAAAAAAAAAACCAAGATGCATTTCTAAGGTTTTCATAAGTATTCATTTAATTCATAAGTTGGGCGAGTTGGTAGGCCATAATTCAGTACAGTTTAATTCTTTTATTCATAAGTGGGGCGATTTGGCAGACCTATTCTATTCAACGGGATTGCATCATTTTTCATCAGTGGGGCGAGTTGGAATGACAAATTTCATCGCGATTTTTCTATTTTTCATAAGTGGGGCGACTAGGCACCTCTTCACAGTAATTAGCTAGGGCTCCCTCTGGTCACCCTTCACACATATTGGCTTTGGTAACCTCTGATATTAATGGTGATGGTTACCTCTGGTCACCCTATACATATATTTAATTTCGATACCTCTTGTTACCTTATAAAGATATTGACTTTGGTTACCTCAGGTCATCTAAAACAGATAATGGCTTTGGTTGCCTCTTGTCACCTTACACAAATATGGACATTGGTTACCTCTGGTCACTTTACACATATATTGGCTTTGATAACCTTTGGTCATCCTAAACAGATATTGGCTTTAATACTCTCAGGTCCCAATATTGGTTACCTCTGGTCATTCTACAGATATATTGGCTTTGGTTACATCATTATCTGGTCACCCTACTTAGATATTAATGATGATGGAAACCTCTGGTAACTCTATCATTTCAACCAAATTTTTCCCATGAAAGGGGGCCTGGGCCCCTCAGGACCCCCCTGGATCCACCTATGTACATAGATATTGATTAAAGCTACCTGTCAAAGAAACACAGATATTTTGGATTTGGTTACCTCTGGTCACAATAAATAGATATTGACTTTAGTTACCTGTGGTCATTCTACACAGATTATATTTGATTACCTCTTGCCATCCTATGCAGATCTAGGCTTTGAAAAAATCTGTTCCCCTTACATAGATATCGATTTTGTTATCCCTGGTCACCTAACACAGATATTGGCTTTGATTACCTCTGGTCACCATACAAATATTATATTTGGTTAACTCTGGTCACTCTTTGGCTTTGATAAAATATGATCACCTTACATAGATATTGACTTTGGTTACCTGGTTATCTACACAGATATTAGCTAGTGTTACATCTAGTCACCCTTCCCATAATTTGGCTTTGGTTACCTTTGGTCAACATACACAGATATTTGCTTTGGTTACCTCTGTCACCCTACATAGATATTGGCTTTGGTTACCTCTTGTCATCATACAGAGATATTAGCTTTGGTAAACTCTGTCCACCCTTCACAGATTATATTTGGGGACCTCTGGTTACCCTATACAGATATTGGCTTTGATAAAATCTGGTCACCTTATAGTCTTTGGCTGTGGTTACCTCTGGTCACCCTACACACATTATAGCTAGGGCTACCTCTTGTCACCATTCACATATATTGACTTTGGTTACCTCTGGTCACCCTTCACAGATTATATTTGGTTACCATTGGTTATCCTATACAGATATTGGCTTTGATAATCTGGTCACCTTACATGGTTACCTGTGGTCCCCCAACACAGACAGTGGCTTTGGTTACTTCTAGTCACCCTACAGAAATATTGACCTGGTCACCTTAAACATATATTTACTTCAGTAACATTTCATACTATTATAGTATTATCTTATTACACCATAAAAACCAATTATACTAAGCATCATAGTTCTGTCTACTACATCCTAAAAAACAATTATAGCACATCCTCATTTTTACGGATATGTTGTTTACCGTGCCCGGAAATTTAGAAACGATCCTGGTGAACTTGTCGATCCTTTAAATAAACTTATTCTAAAAGGTTACCAATTCAACATTGTCATTAGATCTTTAAATATTATTTTTATTGGTATTAATATTGATTTTGTTATCAGTAAATTAAAAGCAAACTAAATATTATTGTTATATACATATGGACTTTCATGGATCTACAATCTGTCGACTCCTGTATCTTGGCATTGCACAAGGTCATGTTTTTTTCTGACTGTTTATGACGTCTTTATATTAAATCCATTGAATGTTGGATGTGTACTGATTGATAATTTAGTCTTAGATGCATGATTTTTTATATTAGTTGTTATTGGCTTTGAACTAGCTGTCAGTAACTGCGGGAGTACTCGCAGATCTGTACTTAGTGTCTTTTTTTGTTGTTGGGATATACAAGTACCCAGTCACGTCCACATGTTTTTGTTATATGTATTTCTATTTGTATCCATCTGATGAGTTAAGCCTTTTTCAACTGATTTTTATAGTCCGTTCATATGTTGTACTGTTACACCACTGTCACAGGTTAGGGGAGGGCTGGGATCCCGCTAACATGTTTAACCCTGCCACATTGTGTATGTATGTGCCTGTCCCAAGTTAGGAGCCTGTAATTCAGTGGTTGTCGTTTGTTGCTGGGTTACATATTTGTTTTTCGTTCATTTTTTTGTACATTAATTAGGCCGTTAGTTTTCTTGTTTGAACTGTTTTACATTTATGATTTCGGGGCCTTTTATAGCTGACTATGCGGTATGGGCTTTGCTCATTGTTGAAGGTTGTACGGTGACCTATAGCTGTTAATTTCTGTGTCCTTTGGTCTCTTGTGGAGAGTTGTCTAGTTGGCAATCATACCACATCTTCTTTTTTTTATAATAACCAAGAATGCTTCAATGGATAGACAATCTAACATCATAGTACTATCTTACTACACCATAAAAACCAATTATACCAAGCATGTTTTAATATAAAGATCGTCTTACATAAAAGTTTTATCTTATTGAACCATAGAAACCAACTATACCAAGCAAGTTACAATAGATAGACCATCTAACATCATAGTACTATCTTACTACACCATAAAAACCAATTATACCAAGGAGGTTGCAATGGATAGACCATCTAACATCATAGTACTATCTTACTACAGCATAAAATAAAATGCTCCACTGGGCGCAGCTTGATACGCCCGCAGAGGTCGAACCCTGAACAGTTGGGGCAAGTATGGACACAACATTCAAGCTTGATACAGCTCTGAATTTGGATTGTGATTAAATATTTGACACAACATAGGTTTCTGACACAGAATGAATGTGGTCTTAAGAACTTAAAACATTTTAAATTTACCTATTATGATCCAATATCCAAAATCGAAATACATGGTTAGATTCAGCATATCAAAGAATCCCAAGAATTCAATTTTTGATGAAATCAAACAAAGTTTAATTTTGGACCCTTTTGACCTCAATGTAGACCAATTTGATAACAGGGCCCAAAAATCAAAAATCTAAATACATGGTTAGATTCATCATATCAAAGAACCCCATATATTCAAAATTTTTGTTGAAATCAAACAAAGTTTCATTTCGGCAAGATTTGTACACATGACAGTGGTAGCGATGCAATTTTCCATACAATTAATGTTTCGTAGGAGAATAACTCTTTAAAAAAAAATTGATCTAAACTGATTTTTCAAACTCGACCAAGACATTGCTGATATAAACCTGATAGAAGTTTCATAAAAATCTGGCAAGGACTGTTCACGGGAGAGCGCTAGACAAACCCAGAAACGGACAGACATACGCCTGGTACGAGTTGAGCAGTGGGACAAAGCTTTACAAACCAAGGGCAAACAGACATGTTTGGCGAAAGAACTTGTAAATTAGTCTACAATAATAACAAAAATTTTGAATATAAAATGCTTCAATCTTTACCAATAGATAACTGAAGCCATGTTGAACATTACTGTGTCGATCATATTTTGACATTTTGTGTAAAGCAAAATATTGTCCTATGAAATATTGTCCA